ATTGAATGATAGAAAATGTTTTCAGAAAATAAAATAAAATCCTGCATGGAATTAGGATTTTGCAATAGTAAAATAATTTAAGGGAGTCAAGTTTGCAGGAGGCAGAGTGGGATCAATACTTCATTTTTTAATTACTTTTTTTCTAAATCTGACAGATGTGGCAATGGCTCCATTGTTCTGTGAAACTGCGGTCAGAAAAATAGGACTATTTTAGAAATGGAACTTTAAACATGATTTAAAATAGGAAAAGTGTTAGATGGAATGAGTTGAAACTAATACTGTACTCCCAAAGCTGGCCTATTATAGCATTACTAACAGTTGGACGTCCAAGTTTATGCAAACTGTCTCCTACCATTTCCTTTTAATTAGCTCTTATGCAAACAATTAAAAACTCTGTTCTGATTCTATGTGTTTTCAAAAGAGGGGTTTCTTGACAATGAGAGAATCTATATTGAGCAGGTCTGCCCAAGAACAAAAAGCAATACACCTACTGTAGCAAAGCCATTTACGCTGAGCAACGTGACATTTTAGGTCTTGGGCATAACAAAAATGTCAGTCTTCAGAATGTTCTGATGATTCCTTTGTTTCTTTCCCCTCAAGTGAATGATGCTCAGATGTGGAAGGTGGACAGGCAGAACTCCAAATGTCATGAATAAAATATGTTTTCTCAATTAAATAAAAATGAAGAGAATATGCATTATTTACTATTACTGTAGAGCAGTTGTATGACATGTTTTCATTATTCTTTGTCACCTATGGCACTCAGTGCAGAGGAAAAAAGGTGGTGATTCTTGATGTATCATGAGAAGACATGGCAAAATATGTATGATCTTGTCAAGGATGCTAAGATTCCATTTATTAACAAAACCCCTTCTCATTAGAATTTCTAGTCCCAGTATATTAACTATTTTAGCCATTTAAAATACGAAAGTCAGCCTGAACTAGAAATAAAACCATAGAATTAAAATTCCCACAGAAAAAAAAAATCATGGGAATTGGAATTAGCAGGGATTAGAAAAAGAAGTATAATGCAGAAAGGAGAACTGGATGCAGAACAATTGTGTTCAGCTCACAGTCTTGACATTGACTTGCAACATTACCTGGAGCAAGTCACAGGGCCTTTCCATGTTGCAATCTGTAGCTTGTCAGAGACGATAACATTCTGAGAGGTTTGAACTCCAGAGAGAAAAATGGTGGGCAACCAAGTATCTTAAAAAATATTCTTGGTGATCCTTCATGTTTTTAAATGATGTGCGCAATGGTAGGAAACTCAGTAGTTGCAGTTTTGCCTAGTACATCATCTGACACGGGGAAAGAGAATATTCTTTGTCATATTCATTGGTCAAAAACAAAACCAAAAAAATGCCTCCAATAAATCAGGTATAAATTAGTTCAGTTATTCAGGCAGCTATTTTATTATGATAGAATCACAGAGTCCTTAGAGTTGGAAGGGACCTCTGAAGGCCAGCTGGTCCAAGTCCCCTTCAGTGAACAGGGACATCCACTGCAGGATCACGTTGCCCAGGGGCCAGATCATATAAAATGGTATTTTTTTTTTTGCTTGATTAAGCACTTTCAATATAGAGAAATAATTTGAATTGTCTTCTCTAAAATTTTAGGTGCATCTTTTGCAATAGGAGGAATGCTTGCCATCAGTATAATTTTTTCTGAGATATACAGTCAGCTCCAGCTGCTCTCATATTTTAAAAAAATTAGTGCTATTGACAGATGTGTTTTACTGACTCACAAATAAATGCTTTGAACTCAAAAGGCTCAGCTATTTTTGGAGAATGTCACTCTTAGAACTATGCCAGAATATCAACACCTCTGCTAAGCAGTGAACACTGAGATGACAAAAGCACACGAGTGCAGCTGCACCTATGGCAGGGATTCTGCTGATTCAGCTTTGTACAGCAAGAGCATGAGGGTTTTTTTGTTGTTTTGCTTTTTAACTTCTGTAACTTTTGTCACCATGATAGCATGACTTAATGGCGTATGTAACACCTTAGTCTGTATACTGAGTACTTTGGTCTTTGTTTCTCCTGCAGAGGTTTGGATATGCTGTGTCAAACCTCAGGGTGTTTTTGTTACCAAAAAAGGTCCCACTGAGGCTACTTTCCTGAATATATTAAAGGAGAATGCTGTGTCTGACCCACGTGTTGCAAAGGAGGAAAAAAAACCCTAAACTTAGAGATTAGAGAAATTGCTTTTAAAATCCAAAGCAGCAGTAGTGCTATTCTGGGAATCAAAGGCTTTATGTGGTGTATATTAAAAAAACAGGTAAATGGTCGAGTTCCTAATGGAATAATGTCTTATTTTTCCAAGAAGACATGCTCAGATCCTGTCCATTACAGCTATGTTTTCTATTATTTTAAATACTCTATTAGTTGCTTCCTGGAAGGAATGCAAGGAACGATTTACATTTCCATGTGTGTCATTGTTTAGACAAAAGTGATAGTTGAGTAATTCACCTAAAAGCTCTGGGTCCTCTGAAGTACTGGGAAGGCTACTCTTATAAACATCTAAGATGAATCCAATTGCATCTTTCTGGGCTGAAACAGAGGAGGAATAAGAAGCTGAACATCTCAGATCTTGTACATGAGCAAGGTTACATGGATTAGCATTATAACTCAGGATCTCTAAGGATTTAGTAGATTACAGCAGGAAATAGAAAGGTCTTTTTCAGTAGAGGTGCCCATTTCATCCTGAATCAGAAATGAAGGTACAGTGCACTTCTAGGATTTCTAGTAGCACTGCAGAATCAGTGGTCTGGATTTTACGATGGGAGGTAGGCCAAGGTGTAGAGTTCTTGTGATCAGTGAAGATCAAACAATGAAGCCACAATCGTTGTGGAGTGAAGGGAGTAGAAGGATGGCAAAGTGTGCTTCAGCCTTCCTGGCTTCTCCATGCTGAAAGAAGGGTCAGTGGTTGTAGGCTGAGCAGGGAGCACCAGGAGCCTGAGAGCATCAGACAGAGTGCTGAGATGGTAACTGTGGCAGGACATTCTGGGGAGAGAGCTAGAGAAGCTGACTTGACTGAAATTAACCCCAATTACTCTGACATCTGATGGATGTCCACCAATACTTCTACTTGTAGTATTCTTTGTTACTCACAGTTGCTGTTGTTTCACTTAATGTGATTGATTGCATCGGAGTGACTTCCTTTGCACAGCCAGAGGAATGCTTCTTCTGACTTCTGAATTAAAAATGAGATATGTTCAAGCAATGGATGCATTCCAGAGTTGACTTGGCATGCCTGCTCTTGCAGGTTGAAATGAGAAATAGCTGCACGAGTGGAAGGGATTTCCATCAGTGTGAATGGTGGAGAAAGCCTCTGATAATCAGGAAATTCAAGCTTTTGCTCAGTATGGATATGCAAGCAAAGTAAGATGTGGTGGTGTTCTGGAAGGCCAACCTCCCAGCAAACAATATTGTTACTAACCCTGGTACTGAGGAACTCAACAGTCTCATCTTTTCTGAGAAAAATAATTGCATAGTTTGTATTTTTAGAGTTTGAAACTCTATCTGTTTGGTGTTAACTTTCTCCATTTGCTTTTCTGTCACATGCCAGAAGTAGTGAAACACAATGTAGGGTTTTGTGCTTTGTGGAGTTTACTACCCTTTTGAGCAGTACAAATTCAATTTGGTTGGAATCATAGCATAAATAATCTTACTGTTCAGTTATTACTAACTGAACTAAAGCCCTTTAATAAAATCAATGCCTGCATGTAGTGTTTTCTCAGAGCAGCAAGGCAGTCTGCTTACATACAGTAATTGGACTTGTGACAGGTAATTAAATGGCTTGTAAGGCCTTTAGGATGCTTGATTACATGAAAATCACTATGCTGATACATAGCAAATGAAGTGGATAAGAACACTATGTATCAGTTGATTGAAGAGACACTAAAGCTCTTACACTTCATTGGATGGAAAGAAGAAAATGAAAACAAGACAAAGGACTATGAGCAGCAGTAACATTAAAAAAAGGAGCATAGAAAGGAGAATGTACTTGGAAACTGGGTTGCCTTGGTTATTTTAAGTCAATCATGCTTACACAAGCTGTCAAGTCTTGACTGCTTCAGTAGATCATTAAATAATGAACTTGTTCTTTGTGATCACAAAATTGGTAAGACAGCCAGAATTATTCAGCAAGGGGTGGGAACTCTTCACAAAACTTACATATAATTAGAAATGAACTGATAATCCAGGAAGCACTAAGCTCATACAGGAATACATGACATATTTTATAACTTGAACACGGGAAGTACCATACAAACGTGCAGAAGTACTTCTTTGTGGTAACAACAGTCAGCAGTCTTTGGGATACCTATCAAAACAGAGATGGCTTTACAAAGCCAGTCTGTAATATTTTTAAGATAGTGGAATACAGAGATGCCTCAATTCCTTTCCTGCCTGCTTATTTTTATCAGCAGGGAGTCAGCACTGGGAGTGAAGGAAGCAGGGCAAGAGCTGGTGTACAAGCAGCAAAGTATGTTTTGTGGTACCAGTGCTATAAAGCCAGACAAAGGAAAAATGTAGGTTAAACTGAAGAGGTACAACACGAACTTGTCTTTTCTTCTTCTGCACCTTGCCAGTTCTACACCTTTTCTGCTAATAAAAAGTAACCCTTTAAAAACAGTCAGTATGCCAAATACAGACGTCTACAGGCAAGATTATTTTGGTAGCACACTTTTGTGCGCAGCAACACAGGTCTCATTTCTAGTATACAAACACACACATAGAGCTAAACAAAAAGCAGAAGTCACCCATTTTTGTCTGCTATAAAATTTGGCCATATTCACACACACACAAAAAAGAAGGTTGTTACAATTCTAAGTACATTTAAATATACAAGAGTACATCTTTTACTTGGATAAAATAAAATTTTCCTATACTTAGAAGAGCATGGCTTCCAAAAGAACTCATAGGAGACACAGAGACAAAACAAGACTAAAAGGTCATCAAAAGCTCTAATTTGACCCCTTGATCATTCTCACATAGGCCTTTTCCAAGAGGTCCTCTGCTTTAATCCGACTTGACATCACTTTGACAAGCCTCTGTTTGCATTCCTCCCATACAGCTAATTGGAAACAAAGCACAAACCATACAAGGTAATGTTTCTGTCTACCAACACATTTTCTTCCAACCAATACATGCTTGCTCTGTGATCTCCACCCAAAAGCTTTTATGGTAATAAACCAGATAGCTTCAGCAGCACCTCACTCACCATTCATCTGGTAACAGCCTGCTTCTCAGTTCTACTTGGGAATGAGCAGCCCTTGAGACCCCCAAACCAAGAGGTTTTCATCATTTGGACTAAAATGGGGTGGAGCAAGAATTTGGATCTGATGCCAAAGACAGCAAAAAGGCTGCATGCTCTACACAGTCTGGAGTTGGTACATAGAGCTGAATGGCAGTGCAGGAAAGCTAGCCAGTTATGGCTCAAGCTGACTGTGTATAAAGTGTCGTAGGATGCTTTTGTAATTTGAAGGCACACTCAGAAGCATGTATGCATTTCCCCTCCTTTGATATACACTGTACAGAAGAACTTTTTGAGGAGACCACGCTTTCAATCTATAAGGCATTTGTGACTAGCTGTAAGACAGTACTAGTTGGCAGTGTGAGGATTTGCATATTTTGTTTATCACATATCTCAGTAGCAGTTTTTTAAAGACTATGAGAGGAGACACATGTAAAGGCTGCAATACTTTCAAGAATAAAACTGTGTTTTTCCAAGCAGTGTAGCAATGTTAGATGCAATGAAAATAACGGATTCTTGCCTGTCATAGGTAACTGCCCTTTTTTTAGCATAGAGAAGGAAAGCAAAATCTAACCTGTAGCATCTCAGATGATGAAAATGAATCAGACCCAGTCAGTGTCACAGATGTGGGAGGAGTGGTACGAAGGAAAAAAAAAAACAAGCACAAAACAAATAAATGAAAAAAAAACCCTTTTTTTTTCTTCTAAATTAAAAGAGCACTAGGAATTAAAGCAAGCCATGGAATCTCCTGATGATATTTGTCAGAATATCATACATGACAGGGTAGCACCATTCCTACATTCAACCTGCTATTTTTATGTGCCTGACAAATCAACTCTTTTGTTTATTTTTACCCCTTATGCTGCTACACTGTTCCTCCCTGTGGGCTTGTTACAGCTTGTATCTTCTTGAGACAGAACAATATGGTCCTCTGTCAGAAGTCACATGCAATGATAGCAAGCATAGTACCTGTGTGTTTTGGCTTACGGTTTGACTGCTGTTTGGGATGAACACATCAGGGAATTTTAGCGTACAGACAAGTTTCTTCCACTGATAGTAGATAAATGGTGCTTTGAGACAGGTGTCAAATTGGGGAGTAGAGCAGTGCTGTTCTGTGTACAAGAACAGATCTGCTTTTTGGTCTTCAGTGTGTCCTTCTTCGCTTCTTTAAGTGAAGAAAGGATTGATAGTTGCATTGCCATATGCCATTAGCACCCCACAGAAGATACCACTGACAGGAAACAGTGCAGCTCTATGAATCCTCTGTGCTTTTTGTGCACTAGAGCAATGCCAACATTTAAACAATTTGTTCCTAGCTCTTCGCTGACTGTGTGTTCAATGAAGAACATTCTGCTTCTCCACCCAGAAAACTGGATCCAGGATTACACTGGACCTGAAGTATTATTGGTTTTAACTCCTTCTAGGTAATCAGCATCAAACCTGAGAAAGGTGTATGAATAACCACATCAAGAACAAAGCTTTAATTAAAATTCCAGTGAGAACAAGATAGAGAATCTGGCTTGATGTAAAATCTAGCTTCATGGCAGTAGGGGCATCCCGCAGATGTATTTACATCCTCTTTATAAGATGCAAAGATTTTATTTGGCACTGTAAGTAGACCGGTCTCATTTTTATTTATAATTTTTAGCCCTGGTACTGCATTGCACAGACTGCTCCACAGAGTCAAGCTCTGCTTTGTGCTCTGAGCTCTTTTGAGCTCTGGGTTTGCGGCATCAGTTTGACCTTCCAGAGTGCAGTATGGACTGTTAACTAATCAGATGGACTCTAAATACAGGTCAAGAAAATGATGAAGGTTGTCATAATATGAGTCAAATATGTGAATCCCTAAATACAGGCAAAGTTGCCAATGTTTAGACTGAAAACAGATCGAGAGAGTTGTGCTGTTGGCCAGTGGAGTCTTTACTTCAGAACAGTAACTCTAGTTCAGTCTTGTTTGTATGAAACCTAGCTAACTGACAGGAAAGCAAATGTATATATCAGGTTATTGTAAGTACAGCTGATGTAGAGTTTTACACACTAACGGCCAAAGGATACTTGCACATTGTTCATAAAGGACAAGGTACCTGAATAAATACTTATGTGCACGCATGTACATGAGTATAGATACAAATACCATGTAATCATGCCTTGAATCTATAAGTAGGCAGATGGAAAGTGGAATTCAACATAAACATGATGACTGAGCAGTTTTTGAGAGTAACATTTCTTCTAAAAACAGCAAAAAAACTGGCAGCATTGAAGCTGTGGTCAAAATGGTTCTGACTTCTGTCTAAAGAAATTGGAACAATATGTTATTTTCACACACAGGGTGGTGAGGCACTGGAACAGGTTGCCCAAGGAGGCTGTGGATGCCTCATCCCAGGGAACATTCAAGGCCAGGCTGGATGTGGCTCTGGGCAGCCTGGTCTGCTGGTTGGTGACCCTGCACAGAGCAGGGGGTTGGAAGTGGATGAGCACTGTGGTCCTTTTCAACCCATTCTGTGATTCTGTAATTGTCCCACTGTTGATATCTGACTTTAGAACAACAGTGTAGTCTTGCAGCTTTTTGGCACTGGATAAAACTGTGAAGAATATCGTGAACAAAAGACTGTTGCTATTGGAAGGTATTGCATAGAAATGTCCACAGGGTCACTGGGTTATTCCATAGAGCTTCTGACTCCATAAACCATTTTTTTAGCATCTTACAGGGGCCGATTTCTTGGGTAGAGCATTACAAGTCTGATCTATTGCTGTTTGTTTGGAAGATTCCTCCAAGTGTGTGTAGTCACATCAGAACCGAATCCTTCAACAAGCAAAATCAGGCTAAAGAGACAAAAAGGAGCCACTCTTCCAAAGAAATTTTGTACTTTTCATCAGTGGAAATTTTGGAGCAGATGGAAACAAATATAGTTATGTATCAGACCATGTCTTCAAGTAAAGACAAACAGGAAATACACTGAAATATACTTTAAAATGCTGATGAGAAGAACTGACTGTTAGTATGCTTCAGTTAGATCAGCCAGACTTTAAACTGCTCTAGAAGATAACTTTTAAAATAAGCACATTTTGAAGCTTTGAGCTGGTAGAGTAGAATGTGAAAAGAATGTGCCCTTAATACCTTTGAGGAATGAGTGCTTTGTTTTAAGAAAAAGCTCAATATTTTCAGAAAAAATTTGCACATTTCAGAAGCTTTCCTGGCACCTTCATATTACTCCTGCCAAGATAGTTGTAACCTTACAAATGTGAAGGTTTTTTTGGTTTTGTTTTGGAGAATTCATTATTTTTCAAACAGAACAGGGTACATTTTAAATACATGCAGAAGAGACCCCCTGCTCCCCCCTGAATTTTGGACAGTGCTTATATGCACGTTGATTCATGTTGTCCTCTTTTGGGGGTTTGCTTTTTTATTTAATGTAAATAGGGAAAAAGAAAGGAAAAAGACAACGCATGATCTCCAGACAGAACTTTCTCATGAGAATGGTTCTCCCAAGACTTCTGCGTTGTAAAATCTTCTGTTTCACTCTTAGGTCAAACACAAATCTCCTCACATTTATAGGGCAAAGCCTGAAAGCCCCACCTTGTTTGACAGCATGACTCAACATGAGAGCTCTGCATGTGCTCCCACCATCCTCATAGCTTCTCTCACGCTTAAATTTTCAATATAAAAATGATTATAAAGATTACAAATACTGATTTTTAAATCAGAAGCCTTTCTTTTCATATTACTCTCCTTTTAATAAAAGAATTTACACTTTCTCCCCAGGGCGAGGGAACACTGAAGCAGCATTATTTTATTTGTTTTGCTCACTAGAAAAATATTGCATAGGGTAGGGGATATAAGCCGTCGTGTGGGGGCTCTGCTTGAGCTCATGTGGACCACGTTTTCATCGAGAGCCATAGATCACCACCGGCTCCCTTACTGTATGTCACTCAGAATAAAACACCCACAACCTTAAGTTAAGACCATTTGTTATATTAAACTATGGGAGATTTAAACATAGCTTTCTCTTTACTTACGTAACTTTCTTAGTCTGTAGCGTATAGAGCACAGTGTTCCCTGAGACATTGGCTAGCATTCAGAAATGTCAATGCCTACACTTCCCCACATGTAAGAAAACAGACAATCACTTCATGGAGAAATGAAATGATGTGCAAATTGCTCAAAGTGTAGCCTGATTTCTATTTCATTTTACATCAAATCACTGTTGCAGCACTGTGCAAGTAGGCTCCTGGTTTTTTCTTTCCAAATGTTAATCAGTGCTTGATTTGAAAAGCTTGGGATGCACTGATTGACATCAGGTGCATTCATAAGAAAAAGAAAAATAATTAAGAGATGGGAAATCACACCAGAAGAACAACCAAAATTGCCTCTTCACGATAGTCACTCAGTAAAGTGGTTGAGCCTTACTACAAAGTCTAGAAGACCCAGGCAGATTTCAGCGAGTATTTTTAGAAATGTCAGGAGGTAGACTCTTAAAGGCTGGCTTTTAATCAAGTTTTAATCAAATCTGTATTTTTGCCCCAGGAACTGACTGATGCAAATCACTGCCGGCATACGTTTCTACCAAACACATTTATAAAGATTTCACAAACTGTCCAAGTACAGACTGCCCAACACCAGCAGTAGTTTGTGTCCTTTTACAAGGAAAACCGAAGGCTGAGCACTGATCAACATAAGTAAGTTCTCATTTGTCAGCTGCTTCACTGCAGCCGGAAGGACAATAGTACAAAAAGGAGCTTTTACCATAAATGTTGATAAAGCCATGAGTAGAACACGAGGTAAAGAATGGGCTTTCTCAAAGGGGTCTAATGCTCTTTCCTGAATGACTTTTTTAGAATGGCAGAGAATCATGGCTTGATGGAGAGATTGGAGAAAGCAGTGACTCGACTTGAATCATTATTTTCAGATTCCCAGAGATCTGGTGGAATGGAGTGTGATGCGATGAACGGTGTCAATGGAAGTAAGTTTCTTTTTTTGAAGTATCACTTCTTTCTGTTATTAGAAATCTAGCTTGTAAGAAGAGCGTGTGTTGTCTTCTAAGCATGATTACAAACATACACGGCCTAGAAAATTCCATATTAATCATACCTCTTAAATATGTGGTCCATATTTCAAGTTTTATTGCTCTCTCGATTTTAGCATTTATATTGTTGTAGATAACTCACCACATAACATCTCCTTGAGCCCAGTTAGCAGAAGAAATGAGACGTCTCAGAAATGCACAGCATCAATACTGCTAAAGATGTCAGCAGTATAAACACCGAGTCTATTTTCCAGCTCTCTGAATTTCATGCTGTGCGCCATGATTTAATCGATTACCATCCTTAATCAAATATGAGTTTGTTCATAAGCGCTTGCTCACTCAGATCTGCCACACATCCTTGGCCTTACTTTTATTACTCTTGAGCTCTCCTTTCTCAAGTGGATCTCCAAAGCACTAACTGGAGATACATGAAAAAAACACCTGTCCTCATTTATCTACCTCATACTGCCAAATCATTTTTTCCACCCCTTAATTTTTTTTGTTGTTCTTGCAGTCTATAGGATAAATAACCTTATAAAAGTGGTAGTACTGATGTTGGTTTAATAGAAGTACCTCTTTCCTTTCTCAGGAGCTTTAATTTAGCTTTTTTAAACCCAGAATCCCTGCATATGTCCCTGTCTAATCTTCACATCAGTTGCTTTGCACATTCCTTAGCCCTTCCCCACCTTCTTCCTGGGAGAGCACATCCTGTCATGGACTTGGTATACAGAATGCTGCAGAAAAAGTAGGAAGTTGCAGGCAGCTCCCTTATTGACAGAAGCAAGTTACTGTGTGATGTCAGCTGCTTTGTTGTAACTGTATGCCAGCCCTTATCCAACAACACATGTGGCTACACATGCTATAGGCCTAAATGCCAGCAGTTGCTGTGGAGCAGCTGATTGAAAGCAATGTTTCTGTGGCAGGAAGGGAGCATCTTCCAGGCTTCCAGAGCAGGGGACTTAGCTGGTCAGAGTGAGCTTCAGTAGTAAAATGTGTACAGTGGGGAAAAAATCCAGAGAGCTTGTAAGCCTTAGCAAAGTAATGGAGAAATATGAACCATGCACAAGTAAATTGATTGCTACTAAGAAGTCTACATTTTTCAAAAACATTGGCTTTGATCCTACAATGAATCAATTTGGGTGAGTCTCTACTAACACAAAGCTTAGAACTGCAGAACCAGGGCTGCTTTTACAAAGGGGGTCAATTCACCCCCAAGAAAATCAGCATATCCTTAGCCTACCCTACAAATCGAAGAAAGATGAAGAGCCTCACCCCTCCTCCCCCCCAGGGAAGCAGAGCCTTAAAAACCCTCAGCAGGTCCTCAGAAGAAACTGACTGACAAGTGTTGTGTGAGTGAGATTGTAAACCACACCTGCTGGGAGAAGCAGCAGCAAGAAACTGATAAGAGCAGCACCATGGGGAGCTGCCCAGGCTGAGCTGGCTCACATTGAGACTCAGGAATCAGCTTTTGCTGATGCAGTCAGGACAGACTGCATCCGTTTTTCACTTGGAACAACTGATGTACAAACAGTGCCACAAACATAATTCTGTATGCTCTTGTTACTTTGCAGAGGCTCCCGTAAGTCTCCACAACAACTGCAGAGCTGACAGTCTTACAGTGCTCTTTTTCTACTTTAAAACAGATACTCTGCCCAAGAATGTGACATTTCTGAAGTCCCTAGTGGAAATGGAGATACATTGCTTTCTTCTTCTACACCCTCTTCCCCTAAATGACCATTCCATAATTAGAATTATCCCAAAAAAATAAGCTTGAGTTTTTTAATTTAGTTTTTTTTAAAAAAAAAAACAACAAAATAGTGGGGAACATGAGAGGAATGTAGTGTGCTTTTCCTTTTTTCCTAAATGGCACTACAACAATGGGATTGCAAACAAATCATTCAATTGCTCTGCACAACTCACAGCACACTCTAGTAAATGCTCCTGGGAGTTAGCTGTATTGAATAGTAAAAAATAGCAGTCGCTTTCTAGTTCTGCATAGCACAAATGCCATTTGGTGAACTGCTATTTCAAAGTGTGCTCTAAAGTAAAAGGTTACAATGATTCTCTTGGAGACGCGCACAGATTTCAACAAAGAACATAAATAGGCTTTGGAAAGCATCTCTACAACTAAAACCTTTTGTTGCCTGGGTCATTTGAGGGGTTTACACACAAGCACTGAATATGGAAGAAAGCCCAGAAATTCCTCAGAATTAAAGGTGAGTGACATCAAGAGAACAAAAGAAGCCTTGAAATCCCGCCTAGTTGTCTAACTACATTTTTATTTTGCACAGGCCATTGCAAATTCCCATTACCAAAGCCCTTCTTTTTTCTGTTGAGGAGCCAGATGACTCTTAGGAATTAAAGAGGGCTTTCAAGATTATGAATTTGGATGCAGTAGGTTAAAGCACTCTCTCTGAAAAAAGCCCGGTACCTCTTCAGAGCAATCTCCAGGCTTTTTTATGCAGGCAGAGAGGCTGGAAAGAATTTTCACCATGTTCTCTCAGATGCTACAAATGCCATAAATTCACGTATGCGTTGCTCATGCTGGACTTAACAAAAGTTCTGATGCACCCACAAGACAGGAGGATGTGCTAGAGAGGAAGGAGAGGGCTGGAAAACGCTGAAGGAAAGAGTTCTTTTTCCTTCTTAAAGGATATCACACAAAGTGATTTAGAAAGCCAGTTATGTAAGAAGCTGAGTCCCACCTGTTCTTCCGATTGTCCATCAGATAACAGCTCCTTATACTATATAAAGCACAATAGTTCTGTTTTTCTGGCAGAATATATACCACGTAAATAGTCCGAGGGATGTGTCATCTAGAAGATTTGTTTGAGCCTTCTTTCTCCAGTGCCTGTTTTGTACGGTCACACAACAAAATAAGGAGATTGCAATGTCTAAACTGACTGTCAGTAAATTCTAAATGCTGGAAATTTAATTACTTGTTATTAATGGCCACCAAACAATACAGAAATCTTCAGGAATGGGTGGATAGTATAAAAACAGTTGTTCAGGACAGTGCAGATTCTTTTTAGGGAGTAATATTTGTTTTTTGTACAGTAATAGAATTTTGTTAAGACAACCATCCTTGTTGCACCATTATGCTTTTGAAAGGCTGAGAGATGTTTACTTTAGCACCTGTTATTTTAATACAAAAGAGGCATCCCACAGTATGCAAAGTAAAATCTCTTTGTGCTCCTTGACAAGTTTTACCAGGAGCAGTATTTTTCCTTTTTAGAAACTAGAAAAAATAAGAATAATGCATCCTTTTTCACTGATTTCACAAATCAATGAATACAGCAGAAATTAAGTTATTTCTTTGCTATTTCCCCATTTCTTTATTATTTCCCCTCCATGTGCTACACAGGGAAGTCCTATACAAGTTTACTTTATGGACCCATTATAATGGAATGCTCTTCTTCTGTAGGCATAGCTCCATACGTGGAGGCCTTTGATAGGCTGCTGAATGGAAGTGTTGCTGAGTTTCTCAGGTACAGCAAGATTCTTGAAGGCGATGTGAAGACACATGTGAGTATTACTCAAATTTTCTGCCCATACTATAAACGTACACATTTTGGAAGCTGTGTGATCAGCTTTGATGGCTGAGTAAAGGAGAATTTTAATGGCAGTTCTCTGAATTATTTGTTCTTGATAATACTGGCATAACACACTGGGGGCATTTGGTTGGGGAAGGGCTTTTGCATTCATGAGAAGAGACTTTTCTATAACACCCAAAATCAAACACCATAATACACAAAACCTCTAAATATTCTCAGGTGCAAGCAAGTTGAATTGTCCTGTTGGCTGCTAAGCACTTTGCAGGACAGGAACAAACATAATTAAGAACAAGTGTCAGCAACTGAGAAACAACAGGAAGAAAGGTGGATCAGAGCAGTGGCACCAGCTCATGGACGTGTCTGCTAAGCATCTACATCATCATACCACTTAATGTAGCTTTGACTCTCTTCTTTTACTCGTATCTCTTCCATTTGGAACAACATAGAAAACTAAAAGATGGGTCCATCAGACATCAAAGTGTCTCTTTCTTACCATGTATATCATAGCAAGAAAGTGAAATGGTATTTTCATGATGAAACCAGTTTGTAACTTTGTGATCAGAGTTTGTTTGTTTCATTACTTTTTTTTTTAAATACTGTCTTCTCTAAATTTGTTAGTGATAGAATGAAAGAAATGGGCTCATTTTACTGCGGTTCACAACAGCTTATCTATACGTGTCTTGCCAAGAAATCACACGCAGAAGAGATACAGTCACTTTGAGCCTGGTCTGGAGGAGCATGAAGCTACTGACTTTATCTAGTAGATCCACGCAAGCAGGCCTTTCTCCACATGTGTTAATCGTTCCCCAATTCCTTGCAGCTGCTGCTCCACATAAAAAAACCCCTGTAGCCAGAAAAGCATGTAGTTCTACAGGAAACTGGGATTGAAAGGACATAATAAATACTTTGCAAGGCAGCCAAAGTAACAGTCTGTTCGCAGAGCAAGAGCTCTGGGATTCTTCTGTCTGTGCTTTTTCTGTGATATGATATGTTCTCGTTAGCAGGGTAGAGATTCTGACCTAGTTAGGCCTAAAATACTAGAGAGAGTAGGAGATGAAATGACTCTTGAGGATCCTGATGTTTTCAGAAAATGCCAGGCTTCAATTTAACTTGAAAGCCTCTTCACCTTAACAGTTATCCAGTATCTTATAAGATACTGTATGTGTACTTAGCTCTTAAAATAAATAAGGGGAAAAATACCAAGCTGAGCAAAAGAAGTATACCTCTCATTGAGCAGGAAATTGATCCCTGGAAAGGATCTGTTCTATCTCTGGCCATAAAGATCACAAGGCACCATTATTTTGCACTTGATTTCTCAACAGTCTAAACCTGGTAGATAGCAATAGGCACAGTACTGCACTCCAAGACTAAGCAATAAAAACGTTTGCATGTAACTTTCTAAATGACTGGAAGTTTTTGTAATATTATTATTTTTTTAATTGATGGTGTCTGTAAATGTTTAAATCAGTAAGCATATTAATTTACATATTTGACACTTATCACTGAGTCCATATACAAAAATGTTTATAATTTATCTCTCAAGTCTGTGCATAGTCTGCAGCATATTGTTGATGATAGTGTAATGCAAACTGTGGCACAGAGTGTATGTTAGGACTATTAGATTAGACATAAACAACTTCCCTTTACATAAAGAAACTGGTGATTCTGATTGCAGCTTATTAAATATTCTGAAATCTTAGATTCTGAATATACAGGATGAAGCAGACTGTGGTTGCCTTATGCTCATACTTATCACAGCAGCAACATCTGTGCTTTACCTTAACAAGTGGAACAAGGAGTATTTTTCTTCTGGGTGTCTTATTATGTGTCCTCAGCATTATACTTGCAGCTGCTGTCTCTGCCACATAATTAGCTGAAGGGAAGATTGTATTTTATTTCAGAAAACACCTGTTGCCTAGAAAACCTCACATACCTGACTCACCAGAATGGTAATATGAGAGAAAGGGAGACTTTATATTATGCTACAGAAATAAAGGATTTAACATGATGTGTTTTGTGCTGATTGCTGTAAGAATTGTGTGGTTTGTATTTCTGGTGAAAGGAAGAACACAGCCATAACTAATATCCGTTGGGGAGCCCAACTCCTATTCTTTCAGCATGCTGAAACAGTCTATTGAAAGCGAACAAAAAAGAGAGAACTAGCAGCTAGCTCCTGGCTCCATGCAGCACAGTGGATTTCACAAAGATTATTTTATCAAAAAAGCGTTCTGCTTAGACTCAATCTTGAAAGCAACTTATTTCTCATTCAGATTACAGTGTAAGCAATGCTGAATCTCTGAGGTCAACCGCAGTACGGAAACTAACCACTTAAAGACAGAGAGAATAGTTAGGTTTTTTACACAGTCTGTTTAAAACAAATTTACCTCTGTAAATGGCTAGGGTGAGATCCTTTGGCTGTCCTGTCACTACAGCAGAAAGACCTGGTGATTATATGGGTACTTCTGTGGCATGCAAAGTGCCCTACAGGCATATAATTTATGAAGCTGTACCTAGACATAGAATTAATGAAGAACTTGTATTCTGTCCATGTCACAACTACAGATCATGTGAAGTCAGTGGAAGAGTGAATATGGCCAGGACTGCTGCCAGCCAGCTGTCCTTGGCCTGACATACCCGTGTCTTGAAAGCTGTCACCAGCTATTACAGTTTAGAACAGCCACCCTGAAGCTGATTGACCATATGTGCCAACATAGGACCATTCTTCTGTCAAAATGAGGGAATTCGAAAGCAGTAGAGGATAGATTGTGGGTCTGCAGTATAGACAGTGTTCTTATAATCAGCAGATAGACAGCACTGGCTGACTGCTCGATCACAAAATGTAGTCCTATCAGTACTTGCCCAGGCGCATCCACCACTACAGAAAATGTGCTGAGGATGATGAAGAGCTGCCTGTGGGAGACACAGCCTGTCTTCAGATCGTATCCCGGTGAGGAACCTGGGCATTCATGTCTGATGGGCTCTGTCATGTCACAGCAGAGCAAGCAGGATCTTAGAAGGCCACGAGCAGATTTTTTGTGATGAACTTCTTCACATTGTTTTTGTTTATGTGATACTGCAAGTGATAAGATACTTCGGCTTGAATTTGAACAATGTCCCAGATGGGACATAGTGATAAGAAGAGAATGTACTAGTTCCACAGGAAAAGGACTGATAACATAAAATGTCCATAGCATGATATTTTATGTGATACAGAACAGAGGAGAATTACAGCCTTCCTGTCAAACAAATCGACTAATACTTCCTATTTTAATTATTTTATATTTGTAAAAATCTCCTAACCTCCCAACCCCACCACTTCAGAGAAAATATTGTCTAGGGGATTCAGTTATGTTCCTGCTTCTCTCATCCAAGCTATTTAGCCTGGAAAGGAAAACTATAGAAATATTGATATCTTTTTCCTCCTCTCTATCATCAATTTCCAGCTGCTGACATGCAGAGCTCAGACAGACAACCAGCAACATTGTGGAGCATACATCGGAGTGCCCAGCAATAAAAACTTTGTTGGTTGGCTTGCTCCTTCCTGGGACAGTTAAGATATGACTGATTTACATGTGTAATACACAAACAAATAGCAGGGGAACAGAAATTTCCAGCATGTTATCCCATCTGCAGAGGCTCTCTGTGTGCATGCACTGATCTACTATTGTGAGCAAGGGAAGCAGCGTTCACATTACTGAAATTTTATTTGCATGCTTATATTTACAGAGGTTCTCTTTTCTTTATCTATTGTGTGAAAGCCTCTACGCTTTCCGTGTAAATACAGTCAGGCATCTGAAGGCAAGAGCTATCTTTAATGAGGTACATTTCATGAGTTATCTTTATACTTGCTCTTGGAAAAGCGCAGTTCCAGTCTGGACTGTCAACAAAGTTAAAAAATCATCGCTTTCTCATTTCATCCAAAAAGTAGTTACTGCACGTGAAATAGCCACATCTTGTCTTTTCTTGTGCTTGATGTTGATGAGTTACTCAATGACTTTCATAGCCTTGAACTTTGAACAGGATGTGCTGTCTCTGGTACACCAAAAAACACTTCTGCACTTCATATTACCTAATCAAAGCACAGACTATCAACCCCATTATCTGGCTGATTCCTCATTAACAAGCAATTTGCTTACAGGGCAACAGAATGCACAAGTGTACTCTCGTGTTGTTCTTTTGTGCCCAGAGGCTGTGCGGTTTTAGGCATTGTGTTGAAAGTTGAATTAGAGCTCAGAGAAGAGGATGATGTCAACATGCCCAAAAAGAAGCTTGCTGTCACGCTGCCTTTGCATTTCTATGCGAGGTATTTTCTGGTGGATGAAGTAAACACCAAACCAAGTAGCTACCACAGGAATGGAAAAAACAGAATTAAAAAAAAATAAATAAATAAAGACAAGTATTTTTATACACCAACAAAACAGCTGAAAGAAAGAAACTAAGCATAGAAAACAGTACTGCCATCCACTACAATCAAAAACAAACAGAAAGAACCAAAACAAATGCGATGAAAAAACAGCCTTGGGAACGTAGCAATATTAGAGTTGATTTTTAATGATAATGCAATCATATTTCTCACCCTGCACGTGTACAACAAGATAGTTCATAATATAAGCTATGAAAAATGTTTGCTTAAATATGACACAATATACACAATGAAGCCAAGTGGCTAATCCAGAGCAATTACCACTTTTAGGTGCTTTACAACTTTTGATTTGTCTGCTCCAAGGGATGACTTCATTTCTAGACTAAGGGTTGGATCTGGCTTACAAAATAAGCAGGATTTACTGGGTCAGGTGAAGGCATGGTAACACTTGTCTAACTGAAAGACACCTGGTTGGCAAGAATAATGGCTCTGAAACATGAATAACCTGGCCTGGCTTGTCCAAACCAACAATCCCTGAGAGACTGGGAGGTTTTCTGTTAATTTTGATGAAAACTGGATTGAGCTCACAGTTTCTCAATAATGTCATT